AGAGAGAGGCTATTTTCATCCAGACATAGGAACAGAACAACTATAATGAAAGATAACGTTAAAAGCTTATGAAGGATAGGCCTGTAGACTTGAGTTACCAGTTGGTTTGAATACTGAAATCTTAATCGTTATTTTCTGCCCATTTCATTTCCATCAAAATTGTTCCCCACCATAAGAACTTATTTTCATTGATTTAAAGTGCACTCCCAGTCTCAGGGTGGTGAGGCGGAAAAATGTAGCAACCGACCGCTATAAGAGGATTTTGAGCCCGACTTGTCACGAAAATACCCTGACCTTATATGCGAGGACAAGGACTTCTACGGTCAAATTAAGAATAGTATAGAAAAAAAAACGCAAGTGTGTGATAGAACAGAGGCCTTTGGTGCTGGAGAACTCTGAGGAGAAGTGTTTGCTGGGACAGATTCAAATGTATTAGGTTAATGAGGCGTGACGTAGACCGGCGTTTGATGTGTGGCAGTAAGGCGCTTCACAGCTGTGCTCAGAAAACGTGAGTTCGATTCTCGAGTAGAGAGGGATTATTTTAATCGAATATAATATCCATTTTTCTTCCGGGACTCTGTTTCTCTCTAAGCCTGAGCTGGGTCAAAGCTGTCTTTTTGTGACGTCGGTGGCCGAGTGGTTAGGCTACCGGACTCGTAATCGTGGTTGCGGGGTCGGGGGTTCGAGCCGCGGGTCCGATGTAGTGTCCTTGGGAAAGGCACTTTACACGAATTTTCCTCACTTCACCCAGGTGAATAGGTACCCGGCTATAGACAGCGACAGATCTTGCCAGTGTGTTAGTATTTTTGCGCCTATAAATGGCCGCTTGCACTGTATGCTGCCCATGAAGTTGAGGTTGTTTCAGAATGCTCTCAGATCTGCTGGGGTAATAGTACAGTTTGTGAAGCGCATTGAGCCTGCTGTTGAGCGGGGGTTTGCGCTACACAAAAGTGAGGCATCGTGGTGAAAATTATGATATCAAAGAAAATGGCCATTAAAAAATCTATTTCTGTAGTGGTTTTACAACAAAACAAACAAACAAACAAACAAACAAACAGTGATTATAGGCACAAAAACTGAAAATGTTCAGTTTCCTGGGACTCTCAAGCTATGGAAATGACCACACTTTGGCGGCCATTTTCTCGTAAATTCTACCTCTGAAACCAAGCGACCCTCACCTCTTTCAACTGCAAATATCTCGACTTCTGTTCAACGTAGATTGATGTTGTTGGGTTTTTTTCACCAAAAGCAAGGCAAAGGAAGAGGCTTTAAGATGATACCAATAACCCTATGCGCCAAAAGAATGACGAGAGCCTGATTCCACAACATCGGGCCACAAATGCTATCTATTATCTATTATTATTTTTCCAAATTAGTGTCAATTGTGTCGATAAGGGCGTAATACGTCTACAGAAACAATTATACTAGAAGCATGATATGGATGCACATTCCTCGGC